TACTCACTCATCTCAATCCACATGGACAAGGAGAACCATGACTTCGACTGGGACAACACCAAGATCTTGGGACAGGCTGGGCAGAGACAAGCACGAGAATTCCTGAAAGCCTGGCACTCCACGAAGCATGCTATTAATAAACACATTGAACTCGACCCCATATACATTCCACTACGGAGGAAACCCGGAAGTGAGGCAATCCATTGCAACGGACCCCAGAGTTTAAAAGCCAGGTGAGAAAACACACCGACGCTTCATCAGAGGCTGCACTGAGGATGTTACCAAGCACAGTAACGAAACATCTGCGGAACAACAAACCAGCTCGGCGAGCCAACCAACCTCAACACCCACAACCCGAGCTACAGATCTACTCCAAAACCTTATTGGTTGTGTCTTTTTGTTGCTAGTTGATGTTCGTGTACTCTTGTAGCTAATTTTCTTCCTGCCTGTCCAATGTAATGTTTGTTGCAGTCTTTGGAGGGGATTTTGTGTATTATGTTGGTCCTGTCCATAGTGGATAATGTGTCTTTGAAATACTGCATTCAGTTCTGGTCTCCCTGCTATAGAAAGAATGTTGTAAAACGTGAAAGGATTCAGAAAAGATTTGCAAGGAAGTTGCCAGGGTTGCAGGGTTTGAGCTACAGGGAGAAGCTGAATAGCCTGGGGCATTGGAGGCTGAGAGATGATCTTAGAGAAGATCATAAAGTCATGACAAAAAGGCATGGTTGGGGCAAATTGCCAACATCTTTTCCCAGGAGTGGGGGAGTCCAGAACTAGAGGGCATAGGTTTAAGGTGAGAGGGGAAAGATTTAAAAGGGACCTAAGGGGCAACTTTTTCATGTAGAGGGTGATGTGTGTCATGGAATGAGCTGCTAGAGGAAGTGGTGGAGGCTGGTACAATTACAACATTTAAAAAGCATCTGGATGGGTATATGAATAGGAAGAGTTTAGAGGGATATGGACCAAATGCTGCCAAATGAGACTAGATTTATTTAGGATATCTGGTCGGCCTAGGTGAGTTGGACCGAAGGGTCTGTTTCTATGCTGTACAGCTCTGTAACTCTAAAACTTTGATGATTGACTGGACTTGGTATGCCTCTGATGTTTCTGAACCTGATGCCAGGTACCCCAGTCAGTGTTATGTTTGCTTTCCTTTTTGGGGGCTTCAACAGGAGACCGAGATGGATCATTGACTCGGCCTTCCTAGCTGAAGGTGGGTGCATTTTGATTTAAATTGTATCTCCAAAGCATTAGACCAGACTTCTTAGTTATTAGTCCATCTTTGAACCAAAACATAATTTGGTGATGGAAGCAAAGGAGCTTCAACACCTTCTGAATAGAAAATAATCTATTTAAAAAATTTAATGTGTGTTTGCTTGGTATGGACTGTGCTGACTGTCGCGATGTATTCACTTGTTCTGTGTTCCAGGCCACACATTAAAGAAAAATTACAACAAGGGGTCACTCTCATTGTGGATAGATATGCATTTTCTGGAGTTGCATTCACTAGTGCGAAACCAGTAAGTAGCAAAAGTGAGGATGTGAACTGTATCAACAAGTCCAGGACAATCAGACAATTCTTCCCATTTTTCCCGGTACATCCAAAATCAAAAACCTTGTAACAAAAACAAATTGCAGGAATCCACACTGGACTTGAAACATTAACTCTGCTTTCTCTCCACAGATTCTGCCAAATCTCCAACATTTTCTGTTTTTATTTCAGATTTTCAGTTTTTTGTTTTGTTTTATCAGAAAACCTCTATTGGAATTAATCATTTATGTTTAAGATAGATTTAGTGACCTTACACTGTGTAAATACCAAATATCTCAGAATCCTTAGTGTGGAAGCAGGCCATTGAGCCCAGAGACCACACTGACCCTAGCCTGTCCCTACAACTCTGCATTTCCAAATAGACTCTTTGATAAAGTTTGGAAAAATAGAGAAATTGAGAGTTACTGATTGAAGGAAAAGACTTGCATTTGTCTAGCCTCCTTCCTCCAAAAAAATGGTGCCTCATGGCTAATGAAGTGCATGTCATTATAATGTGGGAAATATGGTAACCAAGTTTCATGTGGCAAGCTTTCAAAAACAATGATGTGATAATTATTGATGTTGTTTAAGGATTAGTATTGATCAGGACATAGGAATTTAGTTGACTGGCCTGCAGTTTGCTGACTGAAAACTGCAGGGGAGTGGAATGCAAAAACTAAAGAATGTAAAACTAGTTGAAAGAAAAAAAACTTGCATTTCAATAGCTTCTTTGCAAGATTTCATGAAGGGTAATCTGATAGAGGTCTTTAATATGACACGTGAGTTTGATGGGTATGTAGAAAGATATTTCTATTTATGGGAGAGTCCAAAACTAGCTGCCATAAAAATAAGGATAAGGTCATCACTTATTTTGTGTGCTAAAGGTGTTTTTTTTTTAATGCTGATCATCTCTTCCCTCATGTCTAACGCTACCTGATTTGTTTCCTCAAAATAGGATTTCAGATTGGAATGGTGCAAACAACCAGACATAGGTATTCCAAAGCCTGATGTAATCCTGTTTCTTCATCTTCACCCTTTGACGGCTGTGAAGCGAGGGGGCTATGGCAATGAGCGGTATGAAAACATTACCTTCCAGGAGTCAGTACTTAAGCAGTTTGAAGAGTTGATGAAAGATGAGACCTTAAACTGGAAGGTATGCGCAGGATGCCTCGAACACTTCACTGCCTTATATCCACTCATTCCTGTACAGTACAGAAATCTATCAATCTCTACTTTAAACGTACACAAAGACTGAGTCTCCACAGCCCTCTGTGGTAGAGAATTTCATAGGTTCACAACTCTGAGTAAAAGAAATTCTTTGCATTTTGGACCAAAGTGGCATCCCCTCTATTTTTAAATCGTACCCTCTGGTTCTAGTCTCACTTATAGAGAAAGCATTTTACCAGCACCTACCCTGTCTATCCCTTTACGTATTTTGCAAGTTTCAATGAGGTCATCTCTCATTCTTCAAAATTCTAGAGAAGTCTAGGATCATAGTTCTGTGAAGGGAGGAGTGGGTCATCAATGACTGTCTCTTCCTGGGTCCTTGTCATTGTCAACAAAAAATGAAATAATTGGCTAGGAGGTGGGTGGACAATGTTATCCACAGGGAATAACATTGAAAGCATTTTCTGTGACACTGACCAGTTAGATTAGAGATGATTTAACTTCCTTAACTTTCTTTTATCGAAACAGAAGTTAGATGCTTCTCAAAGTGTTGAAGATTTACACCAGGAAATACTGTCTCAGGTGAAGAAAACCATCAGTAAAGTTGGTGAGGAGCCTATCGGAGAACTCTGGAAATAAAATGCTTCTTCCTGCACAGAGGGTGAGATTTGGGAGAGTGGAAATGAAAGAGATCATTGCACCCACTTTGTATTCAATTCTGTGTTCATCCATTTGCATGTATTCTTAAATCAGCTGCTGTGGAAATTCAAGTTTCTGCATTCAAGCGGAATGTTCAAAGAGGTCAGTTCAGCCCCTTTTTCTGAAAAGTAGTCATTAGTAATATATTAGCAAAATAAAACTGTTTATAATTTGGTCACCAGTCTCCTTCATTTACTTGAGTCATCCTGATTGTTCGGATGAAAGCTACTTCACATCTGGATCTGATGACCTTCAATCATTCAGATTCCCAGCATTGGATCCCACAGAGCAAGGAGGAGCAGGTGCCCTGCCAAATTGGGGAAATAAGCCTTTTCCTCTTTCCAGCGTCAGTGACCTCGAGCCCCTTCCTTCTCCCTCTTCCTATGGTCTTCCCCCGAGCCAGTGTTGCTTGTGAAACATAAACCATCTTTCGCACAGAAAAAAAATGGCAGTGACTATTGCTGTTCCTGAGATGGGTAGAGATTAGTTGTCTGGTTCTAGTCATCAGCCTGGGGGAAAACAAATCTGTATCCACCCTGTCATAGTTTGTAAGAATGTTGTAAGTTTCAGTGAGATCCCCTCATTCTTAAAACTCCAGAGAATACAGTCACCAAGGCTTATAGTACTTGCTCCATCAAAATTTGAATTTCTCTTCTGCAAATTCAGCAGTGCTAAATTTCAAATCTGAGATTAGATTTTTTGCTAATCAAAAGCAAGGAGGTTATGGGCAAAAGCAAGAATATGGCGTTTGATCCCTGATCAGATAACAGTTGATTGAGTGGCAGAACAGGTTTAACAGGCTAAATGACTTGCATCTGTTCAACTGTTTCTTGAGTGGTGGACTCAGTGTTTTGCTCTGCATTTAGCCTTACTGACTCACAGCAGCATCTACTATGAACAACTCCTCACAGCCGTGTTTATTTCCCCCTCCTCCCCATCCAAAGACAGAGTCGTTCAGCCCATTGATTCTACCATACCATTCTAGATCTCCATGCCATTTGCCTGCTCTTGATTGTTTAATTTTATTTGCCTCCAGAAATCTATTAATTCCATCTCAAACTTGCTGAATGACTGGCTGAGTTTCCACAGCTCTGAGGTAGAGAATTCACCATCTTTTTAGTGAATTAATTTCTACTCATCTCAGTTTTAAAAGGTCCGCCATTATGCTGTGATTATGTCCCTTCATTCTAAAGTCACCAGCCAGTTGTAACATGATGCTGTGTTCTGGTATAATAATTGTTCATATTGTAAAGTGTGGTTACATTTTGTGCAGATGGTGGTAGCTCACGTTGTGTCACTTCAATACTTTGCACTAAATTGGTAATCAGTGGCACACAAGATTGCAAGTTACATTCATGGGATGTACAGGTCTTTGACAAATAACTGACTACACCTTGAAACTAATTATTGTGATAAAGTGTTCGATTTATATAAAAAATATATTTCAGTATCACTTATTTTAAGAGTTTGGATTAGCAGCATGATCTTGGTCTATGTGGATGAGGGGATTTAGTGATTAACGAGTATTTGGAATTTTTTTTCAAAAAACAAATGTATAGATTCCCTTGAGTGATAATTGGAATTTGTTTGTATTGCAAGAGTTTCATGAGTAAACATTGAAAAGCATTAACTCAGAAGGATCAGGATTTGATTTTTTTCTGCTTCGGGAAAAACAAAACTTGAAGCGTTTGTTTCAGTTCAGAAATACTGGTTGAAAAGGAAGGAAAGGAATTAGTTCAAGAAAGTTTGAAACTTTCAAATGCAATCCTTTACACTGATGTAACCGGTTTCCTGAGCAGACATATTTGGTTAGAATACTGAAGGGGTTATTCGAAGCTGAGAATGGCTGAGGAACTCATAGAATCATAGAATCCCTACAGTGCGGAAACAGGCCCTTCGGCCCAACAAGTCAACGCCGAACCTTGTCGCATCCCACCCAGACCTATCCTCCTATAACCCAATTAAGCTACACATCCCTGAACACTACGGGCAATTTAGCATGGCCAATCCACCTAACCTGCACATCTTTGGACTGTGGGAGGAAACTGGAGCACCTGGAGGAAACCCACACACAGTCGGCTGAGGGTGGAATTGAACCTGGGTCCCTGGCGCTGTGAGGCAGCAGTGCTAACTACTGAGCCACCGTGCCGCCCCTCAACTCAGTTGTATGAAAGGTCAAGGAAATTGAAAAGAACAGTTAGGTGAAGCCTAGAGATGTGATTGTGAAAGGAATTCTCTAGTATTTTAGCACTGCAAATGCATACTGATGGGATAAATAGAATATTGTACTTCTAACTGTTTCAAAAATCTTTCAAATGATCAAACAAATAGCTTGGCTTACTCTATTTTAGATCTTTTCTTCTGTGAAATAGAGAGTTATTGTTAAAACTAAAACTCCAGCAATGTCAGTGTTTCAGTGAAAGAGCTTATTAAATAAAAATAAATAATCTATCAAGCCAAATCTGTCTGGGATCATAACTTTTTTCTCTTTCACCTTGACTAAAAGTGGAGAACAGTCTCTCCAAATTGGTCAAATGCGAAATATAATCTGTTCCAACATGTGTGTTATTTAAAACAATTTATTCAGATACATTATATTTTCAGCAGTCCATTTATCAGCCTCTTCAAAATAGGTGCTATTTAAACATGGTTCATGGTTAACTATTCAGCAGGCTGGCAGAACTGTTCCTTTGCTGCAGTAATTGTATCTTTTCAATTAAACTGAGAATGTGGCCAAATTCCCATGGACTTATGTATTACCTGTATTAATGAACTGTTGCAGTCAATCTTGACAAAACCATGGCAATCCTATTCAAATGCAGATAACCAGCACCAACCTCTTTTCTATGACAGTTAGTAACTAGGGGAGGACTGACTAAAAAGAATTTAGTGCCAAAGTTGTGGTAATATTCTTTACTGCTCTCTTTATCCCACCTGATAATGCACATGCTTATTTGCTTGAATGTTTTTATACATTGAGTTATTGAAACAATAAGCTGATATAATCAATGTTAACAACAGCAAATATACTTCATACAATTGGAAATAGTTCACAATCTTAAGTGTTAATTAAAGTGGCTAATTGAAATATTTTATGGGTTTTAATGGCAATCTATTGTTCTTTGGTTCTACAAAGTGTTTACTATTGTGCTTTACTACACCTACTGTTTAACTGAGCAGCAAATAACCTCCCTTCTAACGAACAAATGAATATGGAGTCCATCATATCTGTCACAGCGTACACCCCTCCTCACACCTCAGCATAGCACTCGTAGAATTTTCTTCAACTATAATATGAATGAATATATTCAGACAGACATCAACTATTGCCTGTGTTCAACAGCATCGTTAACTTCAGTTAGCTAAATGCAGGCATGGTGAAACTGGCATCCAGTAGCCTGAACTAATATAGTGTTATGCTCCTACATTGATTATTATTCAGTAATCTGCTTCACAGGACTGATGTGTGACATTTGGTCCTCAAATGAATTTTGATCAAGTCCAATACGTTAAGATCTAAACCTGATCTAGGATCGGTAATAATCACATCATTGAGCTGTTCCCTCTGCCTCTTAGCACCACAATACAGCACGACCTTTTCTTCTTGCTAAACACTATGGAAACACACTGTGGCCCTTCCTTCTCGCCACAGGCTGGTCAAGTTAGTGCATTTCAAAGCCTTTAATAGAACTGAAAAGGCAGTGAGTCATACCCTTTAGAAAGAAAGTAAAATTTCCCCAAATTATACAGGAAGCCATTAATTGCATCCTTTAAGGGAAATCCTCCCATACTTCTACCTGTTAACAAAGCCAGGTTTACCTACAATTCTCTGTTCAACATGGGTTTAATTAACCCAACTCACTGAAGAGAGGTGGATTAGCACAAGTTCCTTTTGACATCACAGGAAAGAATCCAATACGTCTGCAATCTTGTCCACTTCCTATTTTCTGCTGCTCCAACAGGACTCCATGCTGTTGCTGCAGGACTGCTGACAAACAAGCTGCTGGATAAAACCCCAGGAGCTTTCAAATTATGTCCTTCAATATGCTCCTAAAGTACAACAAAAACTTGCTGAAGAACATGATAAATATGATGTGTTGGTAAAGCAGAGTCAGGTTTGCATTTAGTCATCGAATAGTCTGAAGGTTGATGAACTCAGATGAGGGATATATTTTCTCAGAGGGGACCACAACAGCACACACCATCTGAGGATCCTAGTGCACTGATGGTAATAACATGAGTTAATGAAACCTGTGCCAATTTGCCAATCCTTCGGAGTATTGGCAGCATGAGAATCACCAAACACTTTGCTCTCAAAACTGAATTCAGGAAATGTCTTGTTTTATAATGAAAGGATCTCAAAATCTTCATCTTCAGAATCAAAGAATCGTTCCAGTCTTTCAGAATCTGTAAAGTCTGGAAAAAATAAAAAATCAGATTCTAGTTATTTTATAATTCTCAAGTCGGCACAGTGCAGTTCACACAATAGCATTGGACTGAAATTCAACAGGAACATTTTCTTGTTACCAGGAGTAAGACAGTGGACATCTGGGAAGCGAGCAGTCTGATAATCCATCAACTCAAACATCAGTAATGCATCCTTCTCCTGTGAAATCTGCAGAAACACACAAGTGACCATGCTTTGTTCCAACTGCTGCAAAATGCATAATACATGGGAACATTTATTTATTTAAATGTTAAACCACACAAAGTAACACATGGAGTGTTAGAAAATAAACCCCCATGAGATGAATGTTCATTACACAACAGAAACAGGCAGTGACAATCGGGCCAGTTTTTTAAGGTTTCCAGGAAAACGAAGGACAGGCATAGAATTTGATCTTCAAAATAAACGATAAATGATAAATTCAAAGGAAAAAACAGAATTTGACTTCTAAAAACCAAAGCAATTCTTAGAAGGACAAATTATTGCAGCAATCTTGGCAGAAAGTGTGTGTTGGCATGTTATAATGATCCTGATAGACAGCATGTTCTGATTCACGGTACAATCACATTGGGAGTTAAATAATAATTATTAAATATTGTCTGCTGCATTGGCAAATGAAGTGTCTTTTTTGACAAAACCCAGACAACTTCTTGGTTTGGTTAACATGGTTAGTATGTTGCCAGGTTCAAGTCCTATCTGCACCAGAGGTGAGGCTTAATATGTCTGAATGTGTTTATTAAAAATAATTACTTTAGGAGACATGCTCATGCTCTCATCACTATCATAGCATGTGACCTGAGGAGATAAAGGTCTCATACTCCATCTTGCCCCAGAACACTTGAAGCATGCTGTTGAATGCTTTCTGTTGTAATCTAACATTTGTGTATAATTGTTAGCTGTAATAAATGTCTGTTGAATTCAATACCAGGATATCCACTTCTGGTTAAAGAGATAACATAAGCATTGCCCTATCAGATAAGATAACTTGCTGAAGCTAAACTCTCATTACTTCTTCAGCTGCAGTACAAAATCAACTGATTTTAAGGGGAGATGACAGTGTATTGGTATTATCACTGGACAGTTAATCCATAGGTAATGTTCTGGGGACCTGGGTTTGAATCCTGCCACAGCCGATGGTGGAATTTGAATTCAATAAAAATCTGAAGTTAAGAGCCTAATGATAACCATGAATCCATTGCCAATTGTCAGGAAAAAGCTATCTGGTTCATAATGTCCTTTAGGGAAAGAAACTGCCATCTTTACCTGGTCTGGCCTACATGCGAGTCCAGAGCCACAGCAATGTGGTGGACTCTTAACTGCTCTCAGGGCAATTAGAAATGGACAATAAATGATGGCCTAGCCAGTGATGCCCTCATCCCATGAATGAATAAAAAAATTCTGCAAAATTCCCATAAACATTAATTAAACTCAGTGACCAAAGTCTTGGCTTAGTTGATTAGACTTTGTCTTCTTAAAGAAGCACAGCTTTCCTTCATTAGAACATTTTTTTATTCCTCCTTGGAACGTTGGTGTTGCTGGCAATGCCAATATTTGATACCCATCCCTAATAGCATTTAGGAAGACGTTTATGAGCTGTGTTTTTGAATCACCACAGCCTTTGGATGTAGGTACACCCATGGATTTCTTTCTGTATTGATTTGGCGCAACGGAGTGACTTGGGAGATCGTTTTGAGGGTAATTAAGAGTCAATCACATTATATTGTGTTGCATTGCAGGATACAACATGCCTGCCTTTAAAACAAGCTTTGCTCAATGACATTCCTAACTGTACGTCAGCTCTCTACCATGAAAAATAGTGTATTACGATATCTCCCATCTTCAGCGTATTAAAACTTCCTTCACAGAAAATTGGATACTTCTTATTTTAGAGTGTAGTTATTGATTTTACAAGTCCTCTGGGACTATGGTGACTTTACCTTTATAGGCTGACTCAGTCTGACCTTTTGACAGGTGACAGTGCTCCAATTGCACCATACCTGACAATTCCAGTTCAGGTAAGCAACTTCTAAATGTTTCAAATTGCTATTCTTAAATGGCATGTACAGATACTAGAATCTCTGCAAGTTGTTTTTTTGTAAACTGATATAAACAGGCATGAGGAAGCTAACTCTCTTCAAATGTTTGCTGTGCTTTCTAGTCTCAGTGACCAAATGACCCGCTTCAAATAGTACAGGTGAACAGATAAGCAGAACCACCTGCTCTTTCATTATGAGGATCCAATTTATCTTAATAGAGCTAGTCTCACCATTTTCATTCGTTTACACCAGTCGTTAAAATCCTCCTCTGTGCTGCAGAAAAAGCCCTGCAGGAGAACAAGATAATCAAAGGTCAATATCAGCACAAGTGTTGACATGTAGTCACCTACCATTGATATCCACCAACTTAAACAGGAAGCAGCTTGTAGACATTAGTAGTACTCAAGGGGAACCCAGTGAGGGGATTCCAACGTCCAACCTTGGCTGTACTAAAGCTTGATGGCAGGATAGCATCTGCAGAACCTCAGTTGGAGGGTGGTATGTGAGGTATCTCCGGAAGGCAGTGCATGTGGAATATTGAGGTGAAAGGGTGGTGTGTAGGGATGATTGTGGGTCGGGTAACTGTTTTGGGTTGTAGCCCATCAGGATAAATCAATCAGTGCAAACCACATCCAAAAATGTGCACCAGATGCTGTGGACTGACCAAGTGTTGGGAGCTCCTGACATAACAATGCAACCTAGATCCATCCCCTGCACCTTTCCACAATTTACATCTTCCATTGCTGTTAACCAGATTCATTGGAACCAGTAACTCTTCCTGTTTTTGCTATTCAGAGATTAAACATCGAAAGACCCAAACAGCTTAAGCTGCATTTACAAATTTCTTTAGATATTACCATGTCCATACGACATAGAGAGAACATTGAATGTTACAGAAAAGCTATACTTGTTTTTACTCATTTCTCTTAATACTTTGTACCAACGTTTTTTTGTGCTTAGCTACCTTGGTACCCAAG